GTCCCTCTTCACTTGGTTCCTTTTCATCGGCAACCACACACACACACACCTTTGTCTGTCTTGTCCTTCTCATTTTCATCTGTCCCTTTTGCGTGCACATGCGCCTACCTCCTTTCCGGGCAGGATGGAGGTCACACATGCCTCCCTTCGGGGAGGCGTGCGTGGAATCATAGGGAACCTTAAGGTTTGGAACAGGGGGACTGCCTGGCTTGTAACAGTGGCAGTCCAACGAAGAGGCTGTTACAAGTCACTGATATGGATTCTGGACGCAGAATCCACGTACCTGCTTGGTTGTGGTGTTGACAAGCTTTTACTCCAATCTTCACGTAAAGGGCTAATGAGTTCTGCAGATGTGCACGCTACGTCGTCACCTTGTCGTTCGCTCGATCGGTGTTTTCTTTTGGAGCTGCTGGCCACCTGCAACCTTCGGGACCTCCGCTAGATGGACCTCTACTTCCTTCTAGGTCTCCTTACCTGTACCCTTAGGAATTGGAACCCTAGGCCGGCGTGTGGCACCGCTGTCAAGTCAGTACGCATATCCATGAGTGTGTGGCCCTTGAAGTCACAGGGGTCCAATCAGATTGCGCTGATCTTGCTTTTAGTTTTAGCAGGGAATCGGATTGCGCTGATTTTGCTTTTAGCTTTAGCAGGGGAGCGGTCGGCATTCTTGAAGTCACCACTCAACGAAGACACTTCAAGTTTGCTGTGATAGGCAATCTGGACGCAGACTCCACGTACCTGCGAGAAGATGATGAACACACTGACTCTAGTGGTCCGCCCTGGCTCAGGCTGTTTGCAGGTCTTCTCAGGTTGCGGTAAAGCGCTAATGCATCTGCACTGTCGCGTGATCGTTGGAGCTTTTGGTTTTGATGGCCTTTGAACATTGATGGACCTCCACTTCTTTTCAGGTTTTCTTCACCTGTACCCTTAGGAAATGGTTACCTAGGCCGGCGTGTGGCAACCGCTTTCAGTTCCGTGCGCAAAATCATAAGTGTGTCTGGCTTCATGCCAGCCCAGGGTGACCCCGCAGAGTGGCCTGTCTGGAGCCGTTGAACGGGCGTTTGTCTTTATCTCCCCTGCCTGGAGGTGTACGTGCCCAGAGCGGGCGGGGTAGGCTTACGCCAAAGTTATTTGCCAAGACTTGCTGAAGTATTGAATTCCAAGCTGGCTCGCGCCTTTACGTGACCGTAGCGGTCAAAGCTGCCAGCCATTTTGGCACGGCGTACGTGGCCGCAGCGGCCGAAGCTTGTTCAAGACTCGCTGGAGTCTGCCGGAGCCTTAGAGTGATGAACTCCAAGCGCCTCCGCCTCATCGGGTACATCCACGAATTTTCACGTGAGGGAACCCCTTTTCCTTACCGTCCCCTGCATACTATTGCACCTCCTCTACATGATGATGCTATTGGACAACTCAGACTTCCGCTGACGGCCTACCAGACATTTCGTGAGACTCACCGTTTCTCGTAGGTCTTTTTTCCATCCCACCCTCGTCCGGAGCTTGGAAAATGAATGCCTCGCTTCGGGGAGGCGTGTGTGTGTGTGTGTGCCCCTTGAAGTCACAGGGATCCAGTCGGATTGTGCTGATCTTGCTTTTAGTTTTAGCAGGGAATCGGATTGCGCTGATTTTGCTTTTAGCTTTAGCAGGGGAGCGGGGGGCATTCTTGAAGTCACCGCTCAACGAAGACACTTCAAGTTTGCTGTGATATGCAATCTGGACGCAGATTGCACGCACCTGCGAGAAGATGATGAACACACTGACTCTAGTGGTCCGCCCTGGCTCAGGCTGTTTGCAGGTCTTCTCAGGTTGCGGTAAAGTGCTAATGCATCTGCAGTCATGCACGAACGTAGTCACCCTGTCGCGTGCTCGTTGGAGCTTTTGGTTTTGATGGCCTTTGAACATTGATGGACCTCCACTTCTTTTCAGGTTTTCTTCACCTGTACCCTTAGGAAATGGTTACCTAGGCCGGCGTGTGGCAACCGCTTTCAGTTCCGTACGCAAAATCATAAGTGTGTGTGTGTGTGAGGCCCTTGGACTCAAAAGGGACCGTTCGGTCTTTTTGCAGGGGCGTGCAGCATCTTACTGCACGCAACAAAGCTATGATCACAAATGGGAAGGGATCAAGGACGCTTGATCCTGTACCTGCTTGACAACACACCGACACATCAGTTCGACATAAAGCGCTAATGCGCTCGGCAGACTCGCAGCTTTGCCCGCTTTCAGAATTTGTGGATTCTTGGCGTCTCTCATGGAGGTTTTCATGAAGGTCAAAAGTAACGCAAATTCCCCCCCAACCAACCATGGTAATGTCATTGGCATGAACGTCTTCTGGCGCCTATGGCTCACTCATATGTGAAAATACATTGAAGAATACCACTGTGGCAGGTTTTCACATATCAGCCACAGGCGCCAGAAGACGTCATGGGCAACAGGCCAGTGTTCTTCCCCGCCTTCCCCGATGTCACCAGCTTCTCCCAAAGCTCATCCGCACGCTTGGCATCGCAGCGCCCAGCCGCGCAGTCCAGCAATGCACCCAGGAGGACAGAGGTCAGGTGGTGGTCGGTGGCCAGCATCTGATCCACCTCCTCGAACTCCTGGTATTTCCTAAGTTCAGAAGCCGGGAAAATGGAAAGCCTCAAATGTTGAAGAAAGCCCGGAACTCTTGAGTTACAGTATGTGGAAGGCAGCATTGCTGATGGCAGAAGGTCTTTTCTCATAGAAAGCAGTAGATTCAACATTCTATGACTTTGGAAGGCTACTGGGTAACCCTATGTAAGTCGTACGTTGAAACGCTCGACGCTGATATCTGTAGACTCCATCCGAGGACCGTCAAGCAGGCTACAGACGCTTAACAAAATTCAAAACACACTGGTGTCAAATCCATGGTTTCCCCACAGGAGGCCAGGTGGTGAGCAGGATTGTGATAAATGTCTGCTGTCATGGTCCACCTAGGATCTAACGATACCGAAGCAAGTGTCAAGGTCTGAGCAAATGCCATGGAAGTTCCGGAGCAAAGCCTTTCATGTCTATGTGCATGGCCTTTCTTCAGCTTCCAAATCGAATCAGGAATCAGAAACGCTACTGGTATGGAACCGAACCTCACCAAACTATGTAAACGTTCAAAAGGAATCAGAAAAAGCAGGAACTCAACCGGTGGGAATCGCTGTTGAAAGCAATTGCTACACCTAATGGAGCGGGGCATGAGTCATGACAGGGGCAGAGCCAGGGCGACCGAGGCCAGAATCGAGAACCCATGAGATCAAGGGCAAGCTCCGTTTTCAACCCATCTCAAAACCTGCCTGAGTCTGACTTTGCACCAGTGGCTCTCTCTTTTCTTCTGGGCACCTGCCTTTTGCTCACAGGGTGTCCAAGCAAAACCGACAGGTCTAGCCGGTCTAGCGTCTGGGAAAGGCCCTTCCCTTCTTCCCTCCGGTCAATTCAGAAAATGACTTCTTTCCTGAGCATCTCCAGCATCGTGATGAATGCTGAGAAATTGATCTCCCCCTTCTTCAGTCCTGTTCCGAGTTTCGCACCGTTTGCCTCATGGAACGACGCAAAGTCGGTTTGGAACGAAGCTTGCGATGTACATGGTTTCTTTGGGATACTGTTGAACAGTATGTTTGCACTTCCTATGCGGTAATCCCACCTACTAACAAACCCACGCTTCCCAATCCACCCTTCGCACCTGCATCCTGAGTCTGAGCCCAGATCATCCGGCCCCACTGCTCTGCTGCTGGGCAGTCCAGCTCGGTGCACAGCTTCAGTCCACTGGTGAGCACCACTGGGTTTGTGAGGACCGCTGCCTCTGCGTCAATCAACGTACACGTTCACTACGTAGTAACAAGAAGCTGCTAGGGGCTCCTGGCCTTACTACTAGGAGCAAGGAAGCAACTAGTATGTTACACTGTGCTTGAATTATCTGGGAAATTGCTGCTGGGGTTTGTATGCGTGTCTGTGAACACGCACAAGCGAGGGCTAACCATATCAGCTGGGGGGCAAACGGAGAGCCCGTAGAGCTGTGCCCAAAGAAGCTCTCTCTATGTCTGGATATCAGGGCTGATCATCCGTACCTAGTACAATTTGTGGCATTCCCCAGCTACACTCCACACAAGACTATTGGTGGCTGTTTGAGGTCCAGTCAGATCGTCTTGCTGTAAAGCTAAAGACTCCACCGATGTCCACCGCCTTTGCTGCTGTCCTGTCTTGTGGTCAATGAGTCAATGAGTCAATATATATATATATATATAAAGACATATATTTTGTTTTGCGTAATTTGGAGCTGAATCTATATTTTTGCTACATGCAGGCACCTCTGCATGCCTCACAAACACCAAGGACTACTACGGCCACCAGAACCCCTGTAGATTACATGCGGTACTTCTCGTATTCTAACGCTCACATCAATCTCTATTTCTGTGCGTCTTCCTGATGTGCGTGTAATTCTTCTGTCTTGCACATTGGATAAAGAAACATTTCCAGCAAGCACTGCCTGGCACTGCGTGGGTGAGTTTTGTCCAAGATTCACACGTACTCGCTTTTATATCTGTCAACAAGTATTATCAAGTTCCATTAGCCTCAACCCCCCCACAGCAAGATGCAACACCCTCCAGTCGTCCTATGTCATCCTTACTTCTTGTTATATAAATCTCATACGGTGCCTCCAGCCAAATCTCTTGAGCCATCCGCAGAGCCGGCTCCTTTCGTTCCTCTCGGACGTCGCAAAGGCCATTCTTCCTGCAGATCATGGTTAAAACCGGAAGAGCGGACCCACAAACATATATACTGGGCCTGACGAAGCCCAGTGTATGCACTCCCAAGAATACATCGGCTTGTATCACATCTGTGGAGGTCTCCGGAAGAACACCGCTTGAATCACCGTCACATGTGAGCGCTCGTGTGCTTTTCCAATCACGGATTAAGTCCTTCCGTTCTGCACACGCACTCACTCACTTAAAACGTTTGCAATCGACATCGAAACAGCTCGCGGCTTTCGCGACAAGGCCTGAGACACCAAGCCAGAGCCGTTAGGGCAATTGAGGCAGCAACGGCATCCAATCTCGCCATTCCCTTCTGAAGGTTACGAACTTCAATGAAGGTCTCCCACCAACACCTGACAAAACAAATCAAAAGTTCCGGCAATGCCTGCAACCAAGGACACGATTGACACGCAGTTGTACCAAAAATCCTGCACCACCTGGGATAAACAATCACCTACAATACCTTACAATGCTAATCCACCCACCAAAAAGTACGACAATGTGTTGATTGTAGTGCACCACAGCCACAGCAGTAGCTAAGCCATTTCTGAGGGGAAAGAAACAAAGCCGAACATCTTTGGTTCAGAACATCAACAAATAGAACTGGTGAAAGTAGCCCTGGCTTTGGGGATCAAGTTCCAGTGCCGGTGGATGCTGATCAATTTCTTGATTTGGGGATATCATTTGATTTTACGAACCAGCGCGACATCCCTAAATGATGTCCTGTTGGCCAAGCCACATGTTGCCGCAGACTTGCATCGCTGCACTGTAGAGGCTAATCTCGGTGACACCACGCTCGACCCTTGGCATTGTCGATTCACAACGGATGCTCTATGCATCATAGCAAAAGAAGCCCATGAGATGTCCAAAAACGTCAAGAGTGCTCTGGTAAGCCTGCTTTGCTTGCAAGAAGCGCTTTGTTGACCTGTTGAAGCAGGTATTTTTTGCTCCTGCACTCAATGGCCGAGGTCATGGAATCTGGCCACCAAGGCCCAGCAAGGCTGAAGATAGTGACTACTATAACTAACTTGGATCGTATAGTCATCGTGCATGAACCTTGTACAAACTAAAGTACCAGTACTCTAAATTAAAACATCCAGCCGGCTCATGATCAAAGAATCTCTCAAATATGTTGGCGAAGTGGAGTTCACAAGGAAGGCAACCAAGGCAAGGCTAACTGTCAATCCCATGTTGCCCAAAGCGTCTGCTTCTCCTGCAGTTCTTGAATGCTTTTCGGAGCCAGCCATAGCGATCCGAGCGCTGGGCCTGCATGAACGGGGTATCCTAGTAGCATCCTTGCTCCTAGTAGTAAGGCCAGGAGCCCCTAGTAGCGTCCTAGCTACTAGCTACCTGGATCACCTTTGGATAAAGCCATTGTGAGAACAAATCACTACAAACAGACCTGACTATCACAATAGTCATGAGCGCCCGAGCAAGTTGCGGACTGCCGATATGACATAGGGCCACTTATTAAATTGGATAATCAAGTGAGCTGTTGCAGTAACCTGGTTCGTTGCACTGTGGCACGTGTGCTTTATTTACTGTAGGTCATTGTCCCCTTTGCTCGCCAGAATGCTCCTTCATTTCTTAGGGTGGTCGGTGATCGTGCTGAGTGGGTGGCTCAACTTACTCGGCCTTGTTGTCCTCCGTCGGAACACACGGCGACGCCAGGAATTTCAGGTTTCCACCTTTCAGCCAGCTGAAGAGAGCCCTTTCAATTTCTCTTGGGCATCGACATCCAGAGCAAGCAACTTTCAATTGAAGACATCACAACAATCCTCCACATATGAAGGTGAACGGAGGTGGTACTTTGAAAGCACAAGCCTCCTGGCCTTACTACTAGGAACAAGTGCATTGGGTTCAACCCCTTTGGCTCCACATAGCTCCCTCAAATGACCCAATCTTGATGCAAGGTGCCTCTCCCTGTGTTCCCGGCGTAATGCTCCTCGCCCGCACGGTTCTGTGGGTTGTCCAGGCCCAAACATCAGAAGGAAACGTGCATTGTAGAAATGGTTTTCAGAGGGCACGACTGTTCACGAAGCAGGAAACACAAAAACTTGAAACTGAAAACTTAAACAGTAACAAGGGCATTGCTACTAGTAACAAGATGTTACTATAGTAACAAGGTGTCAAGGTGCATCACTACTAGCATATAACAAGAAGCTACTTATTTGCTAACTAGTAGTAGTGCACGTGTTACAATCTCAACTAAAACAATCTGAGCTAAAAAAGAAAGAAAATAAAGAACATTGTTACTAGTAGCGAGCTATATGATGCTCCTTGGGTCGATGCAGCATACGCATCCGCCGAGCCGTCGGAACTTGCTGAGGCTTCGTGTGGCTGCGGCGTACCAGCAACGCGAGCGCCACCAACCGTAGCGGCTCCCAACCACAGGCATGACGAGGATTCAGCCCTTGTGAGATCCAACAAATTCCGTTACAAATCGCGTTGTGTTGTGAAAGGCCTCGACCTCCTCCCTTTTGTTCGAAGACGGCCCAAGGCGCCCAGGGCGCCGCCCAGCGTGCCGTGGGGGTTGCCCGACATGGCTCCATGCGAGGAGTTCAGTCAGGGCGTGCGTTTTCAATTTGAACTTGCTGACTTGCATGATCCGGATGGACATCGCGCCCATCGCACCATCGAATCTGTTACGAATCGGTGTTTTTTGGCTACTCCCACTGTGGAAATTGCTTGAGAATGAAGGAACACTCCTTTCCGATCTTTCCCACCAATCTTCATGCCAGCTCGCCACTTCGGTTTGCTGGAAGGACTTATGATCAAGGTCGGATCCTTTTTCTATGTACTGCAACTTACTTGTGCCTCTTGAATTCTTGCGCTAACTGCACACATTGGAGGAAATTCGAACACCATACAAAGTTCTAATTTGTATCTAAAACGGCCTGCAGCCTTGAAGGACACGAGCGAAGGACAAGTCCAGAAGCAAACTCTCTGGCGAACAATAGCTTGTTAGGAAAAAAAGAAACAAGATGACGGAACCTGCTGAACCTGCCCAGGTCCCCAACCGCGGCCGCCAGCAACACCAAAGCCAAAGGTGAACGCCTCCTGAGACAGCAAAAGGAAGCGTCATTCCTGGTGTCTTTTCTGTTTTGTCTTTAGACCTAGCCTGTAGATATTTCTTTGTTCCGTCCTTCTTCTATTTGACCTGTGACTTTCTGTTGTGTTCACTAATTATGTAATGACGAGTTTTGTGGATGCAGCAAACATCTTGATACTTTGAGTCTGCGGTCTTCTGCGAACAGCTACAAACCTTTGTTCCAAGGCATGCTATGGCCCCCCGCGCCATGTTCGGACGTCACAAGCGTAGCAGCCGACTGAAAACTGCAACAAAAAGGCTGCAGCAGGTAAAGCAAATTAAAGCAATGCTGCAAATCCCTCGATTGCTCAATGACTCGCAAGAAGCACAACACCTATGCTTGGACTTGTCGATGCTGGCACTGCAACATCATAACATCGGGCTGGCATGTTGAGAGTGGAAAGTCAATTGATCTCAGATCTCCACAGCAAACGCCTTCAAACAATATGTGATTTAGTGTGCTTCCGAAGACTGTGAAGTACGGGGACCCCTGACAAATCGCAGCATTCAGGTCTGTTGAGACAGGGAGAACCAAACAACCAAACACTGCAACGCCCTGACGCACTATACGTCTTTGCTTTGGCCTCTTTTGGCCCCTCTCGCAACACCCTTCAGAGTGCAGCTCATTCAGGCCCAGCAGCCACCTCGGTCAGCGGGCGTGTCACATTGCATGGCGTTTCTGTTCACATTATGGCTAGTCAGCCTGGTCAGCTTTCCGAACCACCAACCCTACAAGCCCAGCTCAACAGTCACAACTCTATGTGGTTTTGTCTCAACTCTTTGTTTTGCATACTGTAAGTTCTCATCCTGGTGTCTCAAGGCGGCCAGTTGGTTGACCCTTTGGCTGAAATGTGCTGAAATGATTCCAAGCATAAATTTATCTCTTGGGATGGACTTGCAGCATATCCCCTCTGAGAATGGTTCAAGCTGCAGCTTCCTGAACAGCGCTTGCTGAGGCAACAACTGCACGCTTGGTCACCTGAAAGTAACACAAGCGTGTTGCAAATCGGAGTGAGTAGTGTGTCTGATGGCTTTCAAAAAGCATCAGAATTGGTTTGTGTATCTTTGAAGATTTGTTCGGTGCCTCGCTACTAGTAACAAGGGCATTACTACTAGTAGCTAGAAATCTAGAAGCTACTAGGGGCTCCTGGCCTTACTACTAGGAACAAGAAGCTACTAGTAACAAGAGCATTACTACTAGTAGCTAGAAGCTACTAGTAACTACAAATCCTTTCTAACACCGCTCTGTACCTCCGCTCCTTGAGGGTTCAATCGACCCAAGCCTTGCCTGAGGCCACTCGATGGCCCCAGCTGGTTGGAGTTTCATCAGCTCCTCATTTCTGTGGTTTCCGGATTCTACGATTCTACAAACAACTCTTTCTTTCATGTGGGTCTCAAAACGGATGTAGTAAATTGAAATGTTGCACTTATAATCTGCAGCAAACCTTAAAGCATTGTCAAGTGAAATACTTGAAGGGAAACTGATTGGAGGGAGGAGCTTGGCATATGACATATGATCTATTTTGGTCACTTTGGTGCCACTTTGGCCTCACTTGCATTAACCTCGTCTTCCCTGACTCCCTCTCCTCAGGTGGTTCTGGTGGCACCTCTGGCAGCGGTGCACTCGGATCGAAGTCCTCGTCCTCAATGCCGAACTCATGGACAGCCGATCGATGTTCGACATAATATGCTATATTCTACATATGTAATGTGTGCATACATATATATGTGCTGTATATGTTTATAAGTGTATATATATATATATATTGTTAATCTTTCCCTAAGATCTTGTGAGAAAACACTCTTCCTCAACCTACCGGCGACCTCGCCTTTTCTCCTAATGTCGTTGCCTTCCCACCCACCCTTCTCGTGGGTTTGAACAAGAGCACGAACAGCGAGACCGTCCGAACCAAACTAGTGAGTTTGACACAGCTTAAAATCTTCTTTTCTCGTAGAAAACGGTCTCGCCCGTCCAAGGAAAAGTCGTCCTCCGATGTGCATTCGTTCCTGTCCAGAAGTCTCTCTCTCCTGTACCCCCTTCACGAAAAGTGTCCCGGTAGGCCTCTAGCTTTATAAGATCTACAGGACAGTCCACGGACCCCACAGGAGTAAACAATTGAAACCTTGGAACTACGTGCACTCGGATGATCTCCCCTCTAGCTCCTTTACGCCAAAAATCTCGCGCATGCTTGTACTTGCCGTCTTCATTCATTGTCATAGCTACATCTTCTTCAGATGGGTCTTTTTCATGTCGGTATTGTTTCACCCACTTGAGTCTCTCCCTGGCACTAAGTCTTTCCTTCAACAAAAAGGTCTCGTCTCTCAATGCGTAACGTCCTGTTCGAAGACACTCTCTCAGAACACTACTGTCCATAGTTTTCGTGAGACAGTCTGCTAACATAGCCTGGGAACTGACCCATCTTACCACAGCGTTGTTCCGGAGCCTCTCTCTTATGAGTAAGCACTCAATCGTCGTTCGATGTTCGGAGCACTGTGGGATTGCTGTACGTGTCAAAAGATCAAAGGCCGATTTGCAGTCCGTTACAAGAGCACCAGGATTCCTCTCTGCCAGCAGTTTCTCTGGTTCTTTCCAGTTGCAATCCGGATCTAACAATGTCGACCACAGCACTCTCAACCACAAAAGACGATCTGCGGAATTGCTCAAAGCTGCAGCTTCGGCTCCTAAAGTACTTCGCACCACTCTTGGAATTTTCTTTGAGTACCAAGCGACTGGAGCAACAACAGCCTTTTCGTTCTTCAACAACTCCGGTGTGGTCACAAAAATAATCGTTCCTTGATGGGCGGTAGTATGCTTGGCACAAGAGAAGGATGCATCGGAGAAGGCACAGTAGGTCACATATATTTAGAGCTATTGGAAGGACCATCAAAGAAACTCTGTTCTGCTTGGCCTCTGCAAGAACACGGTTCCCCAACAGCAAATGTTTTACACGAGCTCGTGTGACCTCACTGTGCAATTCCCCTATTTTCGCAGCCAAGTCCGGGCGGCTGTGCACAGCAGAGTATTGGAGTGCTCCTATGAGGCTTCGAAAACTGGTTCTTTCTTCTTCTGTCACCAGGGCTTCCGGATCGTCACGTCGTCCCTTTCCTAAAGAAATTGGTGGAATCTTCTCGATGTAATCAATCTGATCATACTCAATAGACGAGTCATCCCATTGTTTGAACCGGATCCCTGTGTAAGTAAATTCACCAGTCTCAAAAGCCCCAAATTTGAAGCGAGCTTCCACTTTCTTCAACATGGCCATGAACTTAGGACCACCACCACCAATCCCGTCATCAACATGTATGCCCAAACAACCCTCTAAACTACCTTCTACATGGTATGTGAACACACAAGGATCAAGTGGTGATTGTCTGCACCTCTGTCGGACCAGTTCATCCCGAAATTCACAGAACCAAAGATATGGTGCGTCGATTCTACCATACGCTCCCCCATCTAGTTGTATCTGGTCCGTCTCTGTCATTTCCAGAGCGTCACGCATCTCTGGAGTCGGAACGAGTCCAAGAGGTCGGCCATCTCCTTTCCCGTGTAGGAAAGCAGTTGAGATGTCAAAAGAAATCAATGGCCACTGGTGGCTCGCAACCCCTTGTAACACAACCATACGCCCGTCCTTGGATAGCGTTGGTGCATCATTTACCACCTCATCGATGTTTGGGTCTTCATATCCGATCACTATCAACCTTGCCTTGGCCTTCTTGCCATCCTTCGAAAGTTCAGAAGGGTCCTCACTACCATTAGGACTTTTCCAAACAAAGAGCCACCTGCAGCGCATTATGGCGTGCTCTGGAATCTTGCCTTGTGCAACTTTCCGTATTGTTCGATGGTGCAACCACGCCTTGAGTTCTTTGTGCTTGGCCACCGCGAATAGTTTTTGATCATCCTGTGATAGTTCCTTCAATCTTACTTCCGATTTCTTCTTTCTTTCATTCACGGCTGCCAAGATATATGCATCTGGCGAGTCAAATTGGTCTTTGTCCACATCACATGAGGGAGTGATATCAATTTCCCAGCGGTAACTCTGGCAGAAATGGTCTTGAAAATAGGCAGTGTCACCAAAGAAACCATCATCTGGTACCGGGACATTTACTCCATCTAAGGGGACATCTTCACCAGTATCCATAGAACCTCTTCGTGTCGGGGCAGCGGCTTCTTCTTCAGGTTCGGGTAAAGGGTCTTCCTCGCGAACCTCGAATTCTCCAGGTGGAAGGCTTGGAGTATACTCATTTTCACTGGGTTCCGGAAGATCCTCGGGATCCAAATCAAAAAAGTCCTGGTGTCCTATCTTACGAATCCACTCACGGGACGGTACTTTGAACTCTTCGGTATCCCTTATGGACTTCCATTCCCGCATCGGGGCTGCTCGCAACTGTTGTGGGCTGGCGCGAACCAACCTATGAGCATGGACTAGCCACACTACCCGCTTGTTTTCAACTAGCACAACCCGCGCTGGTCCGAACCACTGTCCTCTTTCCCTTCTCATGTTTCCCCCCTTTCTTTTCCAATACAAAACCAAATCCCCAACCTCGTAGTCAGCTTTCGTTGGTCGACTTCTACGTAACATGATCCTACGCATGCTATTGGAGTTATCCATGGATATGAAAGCTTTTCTTGCGTTTTCCCGGAGGTCAAGGGTCTCCTTAAAAGACACATTCCCTTCGTCTACCAATTTTGCATGACTGATGGCATCCTCATCTGACATGACTGACCCTGGCAAGCGTGTTGATTTCCCTAGTACTGCTTGTTCTGGGGAGTATCCGGACTTTCTGGTAAGGGTGTTCTTTGCGTGACAAGCTTGGATAAGAGCTTTTCTGAAAGCGTCGATATCTTGTATGGGTTGTTCTGTATCCATTCTAGTCAACATTCCCTTTAAAATTGCTCCGTGTGCCTCGACCCGACCTAGTTGCCAGTGGGAGTCTCTTGCGGATACTTTCAAATCAATTCCCAGCTCTTGTGTCTTGGACAGCCAATGTTCGCTCAAGTATCCTTTTGCGGGGTCAACATACAGCACTCTAGGATAACCAGCCCACCCAAACCACTGGTCTTCCAGGAAATTCCACTGTGTCTGTGAATCAGTTCCTCCCGGTCTGGCTATTTGGAACAGGGTACCTTCATCAATCACATGTGTGAACTCAAAAGCAGATTGCTTGGAGTTCGTCCATGTCACCCCGTCCATACCTATTGTGTGATTGAACCCCAAATCTTCATGTATGGCACCAGCTTTCGGCAGGTCAAAACCTTTGCGTGCCTCAACACACGCGTCGCACTGGAAATCACGTGCCCCTTCCACCACTGCTTGCTCGGCGTTCGTCGATCGGAGATATCGAACCATCGTTTCGACGTCTGGATGCCCCAATCTATGGTGGATTTGTTTCAACCATTTCCGTTTGTCATCGTCCAAATTCAAAAACCCTGGTCCATGTCTTGCCAAGTTCTTTGGGGGTCTCCCTAAAATCTCCTCATCATGTTCCCCTTCAGGTGGTTTCGCAACCGGAACCTCCAAACCCCTTTGATCATCCCCCAAAACCATCGGCATCTCACTAGAGTCGGTCTTCACACGTTTCGTGTCGTTTTCCTGGTCATCCAGGAGTCTTCGTTTCCGATCCCCTTCCATTTCACTATCAGCAAACTTTTCTTGCTGAACCTCCTGTTTTGTCATGTCTTCACGTGTTCCAAAAAGAGTGAGCGTGAGGCGTGAAGGATCCCTTTCCTAATTCTTTGCCTCTGAGGCATCCTTTTCCATTCTTCAACCTCACCTACCTGTTCGATCTCTCCAGTACTCCTACTTAGAGAAAAGGTCTTCCGCAAATCTAAACCTTCTAAGGGTGTTCCCGCCTTTGGAATCCTCAAACGCTCGGTACCACGACATATTTCTGCATGTTTGAGTTGGAAATCACAAAACTCTTGAGCCACCCCAAAACTTGAAGAATCACGACCGACAACTACCGAACCTACCCTGGGCGCCAATTTGGCCAGTTCGCCAAATAGGTCCTTCAAACGTTTCGAACATGAGTCTTTATGTGGTCTTTCTTCCGTTTCTGTTTCCTCCATCTGGGGTTCTGCATTCAATGGCTGTTTTGACGTCATTCGGCGTCTCTTTATTGCTTCACCAACTAAAACCTGATCTACCTCGTTACCTTCAATGGAAATATTCAGTTCTTCACGTAACAAAGGCAGTTCATCGTGGTTGCTCTGTACAACACGGATCACAGCTTTCGCAAAACTTGCAGTGTACTTTGCAGCAAAGGGAATCCAAACTCCATCCGTCTTCACCTGACCGGCTATCTGTCGATGTGTATGTCCTTTGCTACAGTACCGGCAATCAAGGGATCTGTGCATCTGTCGGGAGGTCGTCAATATTATTGTTCTTTTTCTCAAAGGTTCACCTTTCCAGTTCAGGTTTCCGACTTCGCACATGTCAAACACTGTTGTCAAAGTTCTATATCTCACCTGTTCCAACTCAGGCTGCAAAAGAAGCTCGGAACCAACAGGTTGCTCCAAATGAAAGTGGTTTCCCGTTTGAACCTGGTGCCAATACAGCTCTTCACACAAGGACAAATTGGGCCTTTCATGGTTTCTTCCTTCCAACACATATTTCCTCAACTTCAAACTTCTTCCCATGTTCCTACGTGCGAAGTTTCCCCACAGTTTGCAGTCAGGTGATGCCCAAATGTGTCTGGGTCGTTGCGTCTCGATGATGTCCCACAGGCGCGCTTGGCCTTCTGGGGTACGGAGCTGGAGTGTAAATCTTTGGACTGTCAGTCCCATCTTGCTTGCTGTGTGTGTCAGCTGGGAGTCTGGGAAACAGTAAACCTCCAGGATGTCCAACCTTCTTCGCGAATTGGAAAATCGTTGTGCGGTGTGTCGTGTCCGAATGTCAGTCGAGTGGTTTGCCAGTTCTTCCAATTGGTGCTCAATCTTAGTTACCAGGTTGGCTAACTCCATGTCAAAGAATTGCACAAAAGAAGTGTCCTCGCTGGGTTGTTCATCACCATCTGAATTCTGCTGGACTACTGAACTCAACTTCTCGATAGTATGTTCTAGGCATCTTCCGTCTCGGCTGGCAAAATCCGCCTCATCTCGTCCTGCAGCAGAGCAATCTGCCTCTGAATTTGCTCCACTCTCAGGCTGGCCTCGTGAGAGATCTCCACCTTCATGTCCCACACGTTGTCGTCGGCCGGAGGCCCACGCTTGGTCGCTGCTGACCCACTTGCTGACGTCGTGATCCTCAATGGGACTTCCGAACTCGGCGAGCCCTTCAACTCCTCGATCACATCCCAATCCGTGGCCACGGCACCATTCATTGCCCATTCCTGCTTCATCTTGGCGATCATGGCAGGAGTCAGAATTGGCTGGCGCTGTTCCATCTTGGGCGACTGGTTCGCCTGGTCCACTGCTCTCACATAGTTCTGAAAACTCTATGCCCACGGAGAGGTCAGGTCTCCCTTCTTCTTCATGAACTCGCCATAGCTCGCGTCGACAGCCGGGGCTTGTGCAAATGTCTTTCCGACGTGTTTCCCGCCGGCCAGCACTTGGTCTCCCCACTCCCTCAGAGTTGTGACTCCGGGCGGCTTCACAATCTTGATCTCGCTGGGGTCCGGCATTGTCGCCAGAGCACGATCTTCTGGGAATGGGAGTGGGACATCCAATCCCACGGAGGCGGCATAGGCGGGACTTGCTTTCTTTGGCGCCATCGGTGTCGGGACTGATGGGTGGTTTCTCGCACGTGCTTGATGCTGGTGTTGCTGCTGGTGTGGGAAGTGTGTGACGCGTGCACAAATGTGTGTCTTTCGTTTCCTCTTTTCCCGTTTTCCTTTCATCAATCATATTAGTCACGACCTCCCATGATTCACCATGCAAATCTTCTACTTGTGCATGTTTCAAAATTTCCACAAGATCAACCAAAAACAAACCCTTCTCACTCACACTCAAAGGAACACTGACTCTACCATGAAACATGCACAGCAACTTCCGCGACGTGCAAATGTCCGCTGCCACCGCTTGCAAGAATGCATTCGACAAAAGAAATGGCGTCGTTCCTTCAACCACTTCTAGTCTCAACCACCTACGTCCAAAAGGAATGAACACGGCCCCCAAACTTGCTAAAGTCCCATTGTTCCCAAATCTAAACACTGTCTCAGATTTCTGCCATGCAATGCGTTTCACAAAAACGTCCGGCAAGTTTCGCATTAACTGCTCCAACCTCTTTTTTCCGATCACGGATTTACTAGCTCCGGTGTCCAAAATCGCCGCGCTACCATGATCCACAAAAAAACACCGGCTCATGCTGGGTCTCACACCTGACGCGCTTCCCGTGAACATACTCACCCAATCCCCTTCAAAGAGTACGTTTCAGATCGGTCATGGTCAGAGCAGTATAAATGAATTTTCATTAACCCGGGTCTCTGTTTTAGAAGCCCTACAAAAATGAGAAGGCGCGAACATGTTCCCGACCTGGTCGTCATACAGGCGCTGGCTCAAAGTCTTGCCATGGTCGGTCTCTGACATCATGGTCGTCGGCATCTCCGGGATCGTCACTCGGTTGTTGGTCTGGGGCCACCAGTCAGGTAGAGCTTGTTCTAAGGAGATAGGCAAGCGGTCCAACACTTCCTGTTCTGGTGTTCCTTGGAACTCACCCTCCAAGGTGGAAACATGGATCTCCGCTGAGGTGGCGTTCTGACTGTTCCCAACACTCTTGTTGGGGCATTCTTGACGCCATGCAATGACCTTTGGCACCACACAATCTGCAATTTGAGTTGGCGATCCGCTCTGCTAATGACTGTCTCTTCCGGAATCCCCCCTTTTGGTTCCACGAACCTTTCTTGGACCCTTGGATTTCTGCTTTCCTTTTCCTTTGATTGGAGGCCAAAACCCCCGTGCTCGGATCTTGTCTCTCACACGGCTGCGGGCATCGGTGTAAGCAGAGAAACACATGCTCAAATCTGCATTGTCCTGACAGGCTTCAACCAGCTGATCCTCAAAGTCTGCAACCATCAAGGTGTCCTCATCGCCTTGATCTAACAAAGCTTGGATTCCTGTCTCTTCATCTGGGTGGTAGTCCTCCTCGGCAACGAAAGAGGGTGCAACATGGTCGTCGTCTTCTTCTGTAAAGTTCACTGGGTAGACCTTCTTCTTGTTGTCCATCCCTGAACTTCCAACCAGAATCTTCGGCGCCAGTTGTCTCATCGCATCTTCGACCTTTTTGGATTGTAGTTCACCTCCAGTCATCGAAAGAACCCGTTTCTTGTCTTCTGCATTCAAATAGCTCTGCCGAAGCATGATAAATGCCTTGATCTCCTGAATGGACACTGTAGGAATTTCAGCAAAAGCCACATTCATGCGATTCACGTACGA